TCTGAATTCTTGAATAGTCGAAAAGCTAAACAGAAGGAGGAATCAAATCGCGCTGGATGCTTCCAAAGCATTATACAGAAATTTCGTCATAGCGTTGAATAGAGGAGGGCCTGCGTCGGAGCTTATTGCATTGAAACTAGCATTGGAGTCTTCGCAATGTGGATGAGCATGGCAACAGACTGGCTTAGTCGGGATAAGGAGAATTACTCAATTAATATTCAGTCGCCCTGGAAGATTTCCTGTTTAAGGAATTTAAGAGTTATCAACATTTTATTCTTCACTGCATCAAAACAAATAAGCTTCTTTCTATGAAAAAACACATTTTTACGGAATGGAATCCTATTCAACATTTCAAAGAAGATGATATCTGAAAACACTGATGATTAATCCTGCCTTCTGATCCAGTTTGTAAATGTCTACGTGATTTTGTAGAAAATATTCACCTACAGCATAACCTAAACTCATGACAAACAAGTCCAACTCAATCATCGGAATGACAACATTAGAAATTGCTTTAACCTTCACTTCACTTTCTATGACCGGTTCTATTTTTGGGTCGCGGAGGTAGACAGTGCTTCCAACGTTGCAGATCCTGTGCCAGCGTCTGAGCTTCGGTAGTAGACAAACGGTGTTTAGAGCATGCTAGCTTATTACACCTGCACCGGGATAATCTTGGCCGTCCCCGAATCTTCTGCTGCTCGGCTGTTAAATAGATGTTGCCTCACATTCTTTCTGGAGGCCAGAGAAATACGTGTCCAAGCCATTACAACTGTGACTTTTCAATCTGAAGAAACAGCGGCTGTACATCAAGGCTCTGGCGGATTTCGGTGTTCCGGACCATGTCGAGACATCAGCTGCTTGTACCCGGGATCGAAATTTTTCAGCCATGGCACACTACTCACAGATGAGCATAGGGATGAAGATCGACTTGAATACTGAGAGTTAAGCCTTCAGACAGCTCTGATTTACTTGCAACGGTTCGGGCTAATTTATGCAGAACGTCAATGGCTACTCCAATCCGCCAGTCGATCTCTTCCTCAAATTTTCTATCACTAGTAGACATGACACTGAGGTACTTGACTTCTCCAAATGCTCCATTGCTTCTCTGTTTCTCTGAGAAACCCAACTGGCAGGAGAATTAGAAAGCGCTAGGTATTTTGTTTTAAAAACGTGCATGCATGCTGGACTCATCGCACCTGGCTGCGAACTTTTCCCGAGAGTGCTGAAGATAAGCGTCAGAAGATGCCAGCGAAATAAAGTCGTTTGCAACGACCAACCTTGTCGTCTCGACATCTTATACGCTGATACACTCATCTCCCTGGCTGCGCCTGAATACTCCATTCGACGCAACAATAGCAGCAGAGAGGATAGAACGCATCTTTGGTAGAAACCGGTGTTAACGTTGGAAAGTCTCGACTTAAACGCTACTTACCTCTGAATCAACAGCTACTATCAACATATAGCGACTGGATGTCCCGCAGCAACGGGCCATTGATCCCATATATTGGAAGTTGCACTCAGCTTGTTGTGCATGATCCGGACATAGGCTTTCTATAGGTCAACCAAACATATATAAACCGGATGAGCGAACTCCAGTGATTTCTGAACAATCAGAAGCAGAACGATTTTCTGGTCAGAAGGGCTTCAGCCAGAACGGAGGCGGAAGCGACACTACTCGTGCTGCACTTCAGAATCAGTTATTTCGCAGCATCTCATTTCTAGCAACTTTGCGTAGACTTTACCCCGGAGGCTCAGTAAGATAGTGCATTGAAAACTAGAGCATTCACTAGAATCTCCCTTCTTGAACAGGGGTGTAATAACCCCCGTTTTCCAGTCCATTGGTGTTTTCCCTGTAGCCAGTGCAGTTTGACAAACATGTGTAAGCCCAGTACATGCCCTGTTTGCCTAATGTTTTAAGCATTTCCGAGCGAATATTACCGATTCCAGTAGCCTTTTTCCTTTTTAAGCTCTTCACCGCTTGTGCGATTTCACATAGAGAGACACTCATATCCGTTTCCTACTGGTCGTCAAGGGAGTGCTGCTGCGGCTGCTCAGGACTAACCAGTTCCTCACTGTACTCTCTTCATTAGTGAAGAATGTCCTCATCCTCGGTACGAGGGTGTCCAGAAAGTACTTTTAAGACTCTTGGACTGCCTTTCTTTTCATCTTGGAGCCGACGAATGATTTGCCAGAATACCTCATTTGCTGCTTAGCAATTCGACTGCAACACCTCAGCGAACTTCTCTCAGGAATCAGCTCTGACTTTCGCCACTACTTTCGCTGCCGTCTTGCCATGCTGCCACATTCCAAATGAGAATTGAAGACTATTTGATTCCATGGCATTGATTTCTTGAATGAAACCCTGTTCTCATTGACTACCTGTTGTACCTCCCGTGTCCAATGGTAAATTTATTTCTGACCTCTAGGTAGCAGGCCAATCCAATCAAAACCGCAGCATTGGGCGGCAACCGCGAGCAATCAGCACTTGATGAGCTTTCATATCAGCAGTCACTACTGGATCTGCACAAACCATCGTTCGATACTGTTTGCAAATTGCCCCTTCGTATAAGCGGAAGATAATGCTTTGAATTAGACTCTTCAGTTGCTTTTACCGGCAAGCATTTGCATGGTATTCCATTTTTGCTTTGAAGGGTGGCAACAACAAGGCGATGATCAATTGTCAGCTCAGCGCTCTCTCAACGCGAACATCCGTTGCAGAGCATCAGACGACACTATTATCAGATCGATAATCAACTTCTGCGTAAAAGTTTTCTGACACAAGGCATACTTGTCCATCCTTACGTGCTCGAATGTGTTCATAACGGACAGTCCGTTGTTTGCACCAACTTCATGCCATTATTGTTGAAGTCGCTAGGATCGTCCTTTCCGTTCACGTCTTCCTACCAACTCCATGCGGTGTCTGCTCTGAGAAGCGCATTGAAGTTGCCAATTAAAAGAGGGACATCGCAGGCAGCAATTCGTACAAAGCACCTTCTATTTCCTCAGTGAATGACTCACACTCCCCATCCAAATTGTGCAAATACACCTGTAACAAGATCAATGCTTGTTGACCTATTGTGGCTTCAGTCGGAACAGGCTAATATAACAGCCAGATTGGGTTTACTAGAACACCAACACCGGCCTGAGCATGGGTCGTGATCTCGACACCTGAATAGAATTGCTTCCATCCGCAGAAGTTCAAATTCAAACTTTCTGGCGCTTGCTTTGCGAGAGTCAAACTATGTCCAGTTAGTACCTTATGACCTCATCGACTAATTCCTGCACTTTCCGTCTGAGTGAGGATATGCTCCGATTTCTGACTGTTAGCTCTCAATGTCGGTGTCGTTCCTGGGAAGCGTTTTCTGACGTGCACTAATGGCATCCCGCTATCTATTTCCTCCGTTCAGAACGGGAGGCGGCTCCGTTGTTGATTGTTACATTCGTCGTGGTTTTGTCGATCTTCTCAGCCGTTGTCGTGCTGTTACGTCCGACGCTGCCAGAAGATAGGTAGCGGACTCTCACAGACAAATTTTCGCAGCATGCCTCAGTCAGGTAACTGCCTCCTCTGCCCTCGGAAACCCGTGACACGACCGACCGGGTATAATGTTCGACGACGGCAATTCTATGGGAGGCAGGTGGTTAAGTTTTACGGAGACCTCGCCACAGTCTCCAACCCTCATCCTTTTTAATCTGGGATTTGGACAGACAAAAGTTCAGTTATTATTTTAACTTTCAAAGTAAAAAATTATGTCTTGCAAATCAATGAAAATTGATCAATTTATTTACGTTAATAAAAGACGTTATTAACGTTCAAAAGTTTCGAAAAATACTGAGGACTAATTAAAAATATTCTTGTTCTTGTGTTGCTGAATAGAACATATAAGAAAAATCTAAGAAGTCGATTATCTGCATTAATTCGGTTGAAATAATTGTCATACGACTGGTCCATAAGCTAAAGAATTGCATCCAGTTATGCCTATGCCGCATTTTGTCACATTCACGGTCAAAACGTTCGTTGCTGTGGACAACAGGCCGTAGAAACGAGACGGTAGCCGCAAACAGTTATATAGAATGCTTATAGAACGGCTATTTGAGCTGTTGCCAATTAGTGACGCTGTTTTTGCAACTACTGTTACACAAGGGCCCCTGAAAATGGATCCAGCGGGATCTGAAACGTTGGGAGTTTGTTTAATAAATTTCTATGCGCAATTGAATCTAATTATGGGAAGAGTTCAGTGCCTATGAACTTTCCACATGCATAAAGTATTTAACCAGTCTCTTTAAACCGTTGAACTTAAAATAAATTTTTAGGCATAGCTAGAGCGATCAACAATGTCTATCCGAACACCTTACAGAACGGCTTCCGTTTTTCAAAGCTGCCGGAAAACTACTTTTTGCCGGCACCAGGCCAAACTAACGAGAGAATAAGACCCGAACTGGCGTACATGAAGTTACGGGCTGATGACACACCTGATGCGCATTCCAGGAAGCCATTCTTTTTCTTCCCGAGAACGACGCCCATGCAACAGTACTCACAAGGTCAGGGTAGAGGCCTGCCGATGGATAATGGAA